AGCTGCATTTTGGAGGCCCACGTGCAGGTACAGCATCTCATGAAGTGGATGCTGGAGACCAAAGAGATTCAATGCTGAGGACAGTCACCGCAAGTGCTCTGCTGGGCGTTTGGAGGTGGGTTGATCCAGCCCTTTCCTGCCTTCTTCCCAGAGAGCACAACAAAATGGGATGGGTGATGGGTACAAGCCCTGCACTGACTACCCCTGCCCCTGAGAAAAGGCAGCTCACATAAAAGGCAATTTCCTCCCCATCATTCTTGTCTCTAACTATCCCCAGCATTTCACTCTGAGTCTGCTGGCTGGATGAATGATTTATGCCTTGAATAAAACAAGAACCTCTGCACTCAAAATCTCTATGAGATGCTGACTTCAGCAGAAACACAATTTGAGAGGAATGGCAGAGCTGAGCCTGCCTTGGGGCAGGCAGATTGACTAAATGATCCCTGCAGTGCCCTTCCACTCTGCAACTCGAAGGCTGTAACTCCTAATAGGAGCAACAGGCATAAAACAGCTCCTGATTCTTGATCCAGCCACATTTGTGCCCGGCCATTAGCAGCAGACATAATGTCCAAAGCCAGGTGATAACACAGCACACTCAATTAACTGCATCCTGCTGCTAATGGCATCTGAGAAGCGGTACCACATCAGCAGGTTTCTGTTTTCTATTTCTCTTCTGTCTCCACAAATGAGTTAAGCTTTCCTACCTGGGTACCAGGCATATATGGATGCACACTGACATTTTGCTGCACAGTGCCACGTCTAACTAATAGCACGCTGGACTTCCCTTCGTTATCTTAATGTCAGGAAATTCTTTATATATGAGAGAGGAGAAAAAGCCAGGAAAGTCTGTCTTGGACTTTGCAGGTAGCTTTTAATTAACACTGTGGTGCCAACTAGATTGTGAGGATGGCATTTGTTTGACATTTATGTTTAATTTCCCTTTTCAGCAGCTGTGAAACAACCCTCTAACTGCAGTACCTTTATGCTACATTCATTTCTTGCTAAATATAGTTTGCACCTCAGCAATATACACTGTTACACAGAAGACAACGCCTAATTTGTGATTCTCAGCATTTAGGCGGGAAGAACTCTGGCATGCAGCAAGAGCAGAAATTCGTTTGCCAAACTGGAAATGCCCACGTTCAGCAGAACGCAGAGCTGAGCAATCTTGGCAGGATGTGTATTTTACAAGCAAAATCTGTCAGTGATTGAGGGCCGAGTTAATTCACAGCCAGGAACGCTAAGCATGGTTATACCAAACCCATAAAAAGAAACGGAACAAATTGTGTTCACTCAGCTCACCAACTGCTCAAAAGGAGCCAGAAAAGCTTTAACAGAGGGAGCTTCTTAAAAGGATTTTTTTTTTTAAGGCTCTTCTCTTCATTCAAACGTACCAGAGACAGCACTGACGAGGAGGTGAGCCGCTGAGAACAGTTCTTCATCCTGAGGCTGGCATTTCTGCAACTGTTCACTCTGGGAGCTGCACCCGAGGAGCTGCAGGAAGTGAACGAGATCTTGCTGCTGCGCAGGTCCTAACTCCTTCAGATCTGGCTCATCTCCGGTGCAGATGTCATCCAACTGGAAGCAAAAGAACAAGTAAAACTTACTGAAAAGTTAGAGCAAAAGAGAATGCTGGCTCTGTTCTGAGATTACTTTCAGGAAGCAAGCAAAAGTTTCTTCATCTCACCACGTCCTCCAGGGCAGTCACCATTTCTTCGTGCAGCAAGAGCTCACAAAAGGTTTTATATAAAGCTTTCTGCTTCTCTTCTGGCAGCTTCACAAAGGGCTGGAGCTGAGTCTTCACGCCTGATAGATCTTTCCCAAGAAAAGCAAAGAGTAAAAGTGAGTATTGCTACACAAACACCAGTAAAAACAGCCAGCAGTTTTGCTATACGTTTCCTAGGCTCATTTATCACATCACCCTGATCTGCACTGTCACAAGCTGTAATGAAAGGCTGGAGCACACCTGATGTTGTTTGCCTAATGAGCCAACGAAGCACCAGTGACAACTCTAAGAAAGAAAAGCTTCTACTAAGGAGCAACATTCGGTGCTCAGTATTGTTAGTATTTTAATGTCAACTGAACTAACCATACACTAAGTTTCTCACTTGAAAGTTCATCTCCAGAGAATGTTCATTTATGAGGCAGAATGAAGAGTTCTGCTCACAACCTTACTTCTTAATCTGTGGGTTAATACGAATTACAGAATTAATGGTAGGAGTCCACACACACAGAACTAAAACTCTCTATTGTGATCCTAAACTGTTATTGCCCTCATATTTCATCAGGCGCACCAAATAATTACAACCCTCCACCCCGACCTAATTATTATTACAAAAATCAGGACAAAAATACCTTCTTGAATAAAATACTGAATCCATTACAATACACACAACAGAAGCACAGGAGAGTTTACTGCATTTCTTTCCCCACAGTTCAACGATGCCACTAAACCAAAATGTTTTCTGACATCAGGTTACCACTTTGCTAAAAGAAAATAAGTTTTCAAGTCAATAAAGCCAACTGGAAGGTTGGGATGCATTTTCCCGCATTTCAAAAATATGGGCAGGCGAGTGTTCTTAACCTTGTATAAAAGAAATTTCCCTTCCTGACACTCCAGTCAAGAAACGTGCTCTCTTTAAAGATGCCTTTAATATCTAAAAATTACTTCACTGCGAGGGGAAAAACCACCAAACCCAGCCACAGGCAGATACTTTTTGTACCTGATGCAATCGTATGACTGCCTATACAAACAGACGAGGAAACCTACTTTAAACTGCTTTAGCAGAAACGATCTTCTTCATTTTTTCCAAGAGACAGCTCAGGTTAACTAATTAAAAGAAACCTCCAAGCCTTTTAATCAAGAAAGGCACAAAGGTATGCCAAGCTAAAACATAAAACAGATCAGTGGCATACCATTCTTTCACAAATAAGTGGGTTTTTATATACACATGGAGACACAGTTGTTCCTTTCAAACAAGACTACATTGGAGCATGACAGAATTTATTTCAGGACAAGAAAAATCTATTTTGGTCACAGTCTGCTGAAAAGCCACGAAGAAAGGGCAAAATTGGGAGATAACAGAAGTGATGCTCGTTGTTAGAACCAGCTGTAAGAACTCAGCCAAGAGCTGATGAGAAGTACATGTGTGTTCTGAGGCCTTGACTTGTTTTCCCCTTTTCCAGTCCTCTGGCGACAACCCTGCCCTGCCCTTCCCTTCCACATCCCCACAATAAACAAGTTGTGACCGGCCCATTATACCAATGTGCAGCCTTCCACTTAAATCACATTTTAGCTTTGCCAGCCTTAGTTGCTACCAAAGATCTCTATAAAGCTTCTCAGAAAATAACGAGGCTAACTGGAGCCAAGGGAGATGTCTTTGTAATTCTGGGGACTTAAAATAACCTTTAACTGACAGGTTTTTCCAAATCATGAAAAAATATTTTCAGTGACCCTTTCTCAATGAAAGCATAAATCATCACTAATCTTATAGAGCTTGTCTGGAATGGAACAGAACTGGCATAAAAACGGAATTTTGTAGGATCGTATTTATGACAAAGGGCTGCAGGATGTTCCCAGGGAACAGCCCACTGCTCAGACCTCTTGCAGAAGTAAATTCTTCTGTTCTTTCAGTGCATTCCCCCAAGAGTTCCTGATAAGGGCTATTAAAATGAACTAACCTAATTGCTTATGCACTATTGTACCAGGTTATTTCCTCCTATCACATTGCTTAACTCACTGTAATGTAATCATGCAGAGCATTCTGGTAATACCTTGTTTCAATACACTTAAAGAAGCATCACTGGGAATGAGGTTCTTAGCCCCGGAGTATCTCTCGTTATCGACAGCATCTGGCTGATAGAGAAACGAAGCATCTCTGAACATTGCTGAATGGGGATACGCTGAGCCTTCTGTGCTGTCTTTTTCAAAACCTCCTTGCTGTTCATCCAGCAGACAGAATTCTGTAATTAGAAATTCAATTTTAAAAATTAATTAATAAAATACACAGGCAATTATCAAATGAGATGCTAGCTTATTTTATCACATGTGATTTCTCCATGTCTCATCTCTTCCAGATGGAACAAATGCCAGTGGTTGCTGTGTATGTGAATTATTGAGCATTATTGCAGCCCTGGTGTTTGGCACAGTGTGCACAGACACAGTGTCTGTCCTGCATCTTGGTCCCATAGTGCAGCTACCAACCACAAAATGTGACACCAGCTCCTGTGAACTAAAGTAACGTAGACAGCAAATTATGTGAAAACTTCTCACCAAGACCCTAAACCCGAATGCTGCACACAAGAGACGCAGGTATGAGTCTGTCACATACATTTCCTATCAATAAGGAGAGGTGCTGCAATGCAGGGTTGTGGGATCTGCTCATGCGTGAGACACATGAAAGCCCTTTCTAAAATTGGTAAGAACTCCAAGAGTCCCTCACGGAGCTGCCTCTGGTCATGGCACTGATGGACTCCTCTTTCTAAGCCAAGCCACAGGTCCACCATCAGGTTCTCCCAATGAGTGGAAAACAGGGGCTTTTCAGTGTCTCTGAAAGACTTCATCTTTACTGCAATACACAGTCTCTTTGCAGTAACTTAACGGAGAAATAACCCACCCTGGCTGAATTGCCCTTTCTGCCCCATGTCCATGGCCTACCTCACCCAAACAAGGTGCCACCCCAATGCTTCCAGCGTGATGAAGCTAAGGGACTCCAGAAAGGCACACAAGAAGCCTTTGGGAGAGTGATGCTGACAAATCTGGATTATCAAGTTCTGTGCTCACGTGTCTAGTAGTGTGCCCCAAAGATGCAGAATATACTGCCAAAAAATGCATTATTTTTACCATCTTTTATTGTCTCAAATGCAAGATTTAAAACTGTACCCCTGGCACTCTGCAGCAGGAGGAAAACACAGGCAGGCTAGCAAGAGGAATTCAATTTTAAAGTAATACCTGACAGCAAATGGAAAAAAAAAAAAGTAACTAAGCACAGCACTCACATGTACCAGGCACAAAACCTAAATATAACCCTCCTGCAGCTGTGAGAGTCTGTCTCACCAAATTAAGGACATTCAAAGCAGATGAGAAAGCATGGAGAGCACTCCATCAGCAAAAAGCTTTTTCAAAGGGAGAGCAAAGAAAGAAATCTCTGCCACAGAGAAAGGAAGACGCCAGAGACCTTTCTGCCTGCGTAACCCTTCACAGAGCAGATGGAGCTACGGAGGAGCAGAGAGTGATTAACACAAATTAAGGAACTTCCCAAAGCAACAAGACTCTGGACAGCAGCTTCGACACCATGAGGCCAACTGCTACTCTCCTGTTGCTGTCATTGGTCATAGCACGGCTTCTGCATCAACCCTGAAGGAGGAATCACCCGCTCCCCAAGGCAGAACGGTGCCAATGAGGGAAGCTGATACACAGCATCACGTGGGGAGTTTGAAGAGATGCAGACCCCGCTGTAACAGGACTTGATTCACAGGAAAACGCAGGACTCACAAAATTAACAGTCCTATTAATACAAAATTTTCAATCTCATTAATTTTGTCATACAGGTTAAAAAAAAAGGAAAAATAAGTGAATGAAACAATTTACATAACACTGTGATATTTTCTCTATTGAATTCTATTGCGTTCATCAATGACAAACCTCCACTCGCCGAGCTAGATCTTGTTATTCGGAAACGTTAACAAAAACCAGAGATTATCAAGAAAACAACCAAAGGCAAAGAGACTCCTGTGCAGGGGGAAGCTGAAACGATGAGGACTGTTTAATTTACAGACATTTAAGAGGAATCAAGTCACACATATATAGCAACGAACAGAACAAAGTAAATCAGCCGGGTGCTATTATGCCTCCTGTTTTACAAAGCAAGAACATGAGGACCTGCAGTGAAAACTTAGGGACACAAAACTGCAAAGCCTTAACAGGAACAGCTTTTGCATGTAGTGGAAAATTAGCCTGTAGAAATCAGACAGAATGATTACAAAAAGCCATTATGGTAAAGGAATTCAAAAAGGACTAGCCCTTTCTTTCCTTTTCTTTTTCCTTTTTTTTTTTAATTTATAAAAATGTCCAAGAACATCCAAGTCACATTAGCCAGAACATTTTTAAGGAAGTTTATATACCATTCTTCCTTACAGAATAACTCAAGCAGTGTCAGTGGCAAAGAAAAAGAAACAAACAAATAAAAAACCAACTTACCTGCACCTTATTCCATAATTATCTGTGAAAGAATCCCATTATGCTACACCTGCTACTGCTCACTTTGTCTCATGTGAAAGACTACATATTCTCTGGATTTATCTTCAAAGGGTATTTTTATTTCCATAAACAGATGCTGACCACTGCTCAGACATTGAGAAGTTGACGGCTGGGCTCCACCATACTTACTCATTAGATCATTAACAAGGCCCATGTATTATCAGCTAGCAGGAGGACACAGGAATTTCCATCTAGAAATCACATAAGTAGGCTATCAGCTGTACACGTATGAAATTAGATGGCCTTAATTGCACCTGATTGTTCTGAATTACAGTTCTTTTATGACCATGAAGTCAATGCCCTCTGGTACATCTCTGTGTTCAGTCTACCTCAGAGCAATTCCACACTTCAGAAAGTTTTTCACAGGTTACATATTATTTACTTGTCCTCCTCCTGAACAGACAGACTTCCTTAATGTCAAGAAGTCAGCTGAAGGAGAATGATGGAGAGCATCTTCTGCATTTCTTGTCCAAATAAAGCACACTCTGGATTCAAATCTCAACTGCACTTCAATTCTTTCTTCCTGTTTGTCTCTACATACAGTCCTTTCCAACTTCAGCTCTACACAGTCCCTCTGATTTCTCTCCCTCTTGCATAACATCCCCTGAAACCTCCTTTAGGTCAGGGAGTTGAACTGAGGACAGGCGAGACAGAAAATCCCAGGTGATTCCGCAGAGCAGAGTTACTACTGTCCCCAGAGCCAATGTCAACATCTATTTTAGCATGACAACTGAACTTATTCAACCTGAAATTAGTAAAGCTAGATCAGAAAACATGCCAAGGACTTTTCTGCAATCATTCTGAGAATAATCTATATATGAAAGTGAAAAATAGACAGAAAAGTTTAAATTCCAGTCCTACACCTCATGAATAATTCTTTTCTTAGCATGTCTGCTGTCTAAACATTCCTGGTTGACTGTCAAGCTATATTCATTTCACTCTCCGTACCGATAGGTGAAGGCAACAGCACAGGTTGGGGGCCAGCCAGCGAGAAGCAAAATTGCAGAGAAAGACCTGGACAACAAACTGGAGAGCAGCAGCAGCGTGCCCTTGCAGCTACTGGAGTTTGCTGCTCACTGGGCTGTACTGACAGGAGTGTAGCTGGTGGATCGACGAAAGTGATTTTTCAATTTGGGAGACTGCACGCAGTGTCGTGACCAGTTCTGAACTCCCCAGTACAAGACAGACATTCACACACTGGAGCAATCCAGCAAAAAGCCTCCAAGATCACTGGAGGCTGCAGAACATCAAGTACGAGAAAAGGACAAGAGATTGGGTTTGTCCAGCCTGGAAAATATATTGACTGGGGAAAACATGGCTAAGGGAGAATCTTACTGCTACCTACAACTACCCAATGGAAGCATGAAGAGAAGACAGAGACAGACTCTTCTGTATGACGATAGGACTAAAAGCCAAGAGACAAATTAAAGAAACAGAAATTCTCATTAGATATTAAGAAGAAAAAAAAACTTCAGCACGATGGTGGTCAGACACGCTGCCCAGATGGGTGATGAATCTCCACCTCTGGAGATAACCAGAACTTGAACAGACAAGGACACAAGCAATCTCACCTAACTCTGAACTTAGATCAAACTTTCAAAGCTGGCCCTGCCCTTCAGCTGGTGCTTGAGCTCGATGGCCTCCTGCAGCTTCCTGGAACTTAAGTTATTCTGAGTTTATGATTTATTCCAACAAGTGAAAAAGCATCACCAAATCAGAAAAGCAGCATTTCACAGCACAAATAACCATCAAGGCAGTGGAGCCAATACACCACCCACCACCTTCATACACAGGGAAATGGAAAAATCATTGCCCAACAGTTGAACTGTGTGCTACAGAAAATGAGCTTTATACTTACCAAACTGGCCACTGTGCTTTATAAATAGTTCAATTACACCGTAGGCAATAGCAGTTGCAGGAGGAATTTCCAGGATCACACTAGAATCCTTCATCATGCTTCCATTTTCACTCACTGAAACCTAGAGGACAGATTTATTCACCATTTATCTGACACCGCTATTATGTAGCTTAAACATAGAATTAATTAGGGGAGAAAAATACAGAGAAAGAATGAGCTTTATTCACCATGATGTCTAACTAAAGCACACGTTGCATTATACAGCTATGAAAGGAACAAGGTGAGCAGCGAGGCAGAAGCATGATGCCGAGAGTGGCTCTCAAAGTCTTAGCTACCCTCTTCTAGTACAACGTTGAGCTCCAGGTGCAGCTTTTACCACACATGAAACACAATGTCACTAGCAAATAGGCACCACTTCAGTATCCTCCCCTCTTCTATCCTGACACCCCTTTTGCCCAGCTGCAGACTGGTACCAGCAAGGGGCACTTGCAGAGGGGGTTGTTGACCTGCAGCTCCCAGGTTTCTGCTACTGGAGACACCGTGCACACAGAGTGATTCATCTGCAGCTTTACAAACAACTTAAAACAAATGAGCACAAGTTTTCACTTTGGTAACTCCTTCTCAATTCACAGGCAGTTTTTCAGATATCCTCATACTGCAGTTAATCTCTAATCCCATGATCAAAACCAAATAGCTTCTCAATGAATACTAAAACTCAGTAGACACTGCAAACATTGCTGATAAATGATCACTTGGCTTTTCAAGTAAATTTCCTTCAGCAACGCTTTTCTGTCTACAACTTACACTGAATTGTTGTATGTTTGGTTTATGTTCTGCTGTAGGCAGGACTCTGCACAGAAACTGAATCACAATTTGACAGCCTCGACGGAAACGACACTCCAGGCTCACACTAAATACTCCATCTTTCGCCAGTGATGCAACAGAAAAAGTATTTCACCTTTCTGAAGTTTCACACCTGAGCAGTGCAGTGAGCTCAACATGTTAAAGAAGCACGAAAAATACTCTGAGGTCTATTTGAAGAATTCCTAATTTATTCTCAGGTAATCTGCAAGTGTTTTATTCCTTGCAGATTTTTAGTAATTTTTACCTTTATTATTTTTGTTCTGCATCCCATCACACCGCTGACTTTTTCTTCTGTCTGGGTATGTTCAGTTATCGTACACCTCTGAGTCGTTATTATCTTTTCTCTCAAGATGCACAGCACTTCACGTTTTCTTTCTATCACTTGTTGCAGTAAACTACTGTTTAGATTTATTGTTCTGAAAAAGATGCCATTAACAACATAAATACTAGAATTGAGAAAAAAAAAATCTTAATTGCTTGAAGGAGCTTTTATTGTAAAAATAACAATAGTTCTGAATGAGCAGTCACCTCAGAATTACTACATCATCTTCTGTTATTTGGTAGCAGTAAATATCTGTATTCCATAGTAAGTCCCAACACACAGATTGAATTCTTGATTCCCTGCTCTGAGCAGAAACAGCAGTTGTCTGGCTACTTTCTAAGCAAAAAAAGCAAGGAAGAACTAAAGACAACTTTAAGCTTTCAGTGTAACGTACAAACACAAGACCTGTGCTCACAGTCCATATTATGAGTTTCCTGCAGCCTCACACACTACTGCTTATATTATGTATTCACACACATGCCAGAAATATGTGTAATAGCATGATACATACTAAGCATGTCATATAATTGTATTATTCACACATCACAAAGCTCTGCTTAAAAAAAAGAGTGAAGTTGCAGTCAAGCTAGTGGAAGTTAGGAAATACATAGCAAGTAAGCTTCCAGTCTGGTTAGCTTCTCCCTTTGTAACCAAGCCCCAATTTTCCTTACAATAGTTCTGCTTTCCCTCTCTTATCTGACCAGACCAAGTCCCATTTGTTCCCCCCTTCCTTCTCATTCAGCTCAGCTATGTCCCAGTCAGCTCACCCATCCCATTTCATTTCTCTGCCACCTTCTGTCCTCAGATGACACCAGCACCATGGCTCCCAGCCTTGGTCTCCTCTCCTTCTTCCAGTTCATTGTTTCTGCCGTCCAGGCCTGTCTGGCCAAGCTCAGTCTCATTTATCTCCTTGTCACCAGTCTTGTCACCCCAATCTTTGTACATCCTTCTACCTGCAGCAGATGCGCCATCAGCTGCTTGTCGATGGGGGCTCCTTTGCACCCAAGTGTTTGTGTCCAGACTCGCCCTGGACTAGGACAGCTTGAGGCAACCATCACTAAGGAACCCTGGTGCGGCCACGTGCAGGCAAAGGAGCAACCTGACGCGCTGCTGCCAAATTTTTAAGGTCTTATTCCAAATTCTGGACCACCAGTATTTCTTCTGGGGGGATGAACAGCATGCAAAGAGAGCAACACCTCAATGCCAACCCTCACAGCTTGCTATGGATCTGTTCCAGTGCTCACTTAAACCCTGAACTGGCTGAGTGGGACCAGCATCGACCAACTACTTGAAAGGGCTGGATGAGAAAAGACATCATGGATTTGAGGGACTGGAAAAGATTACTAAAAAATCACCCACTATCAACTCCTGTGTTACTCATCTGCATAACCTCACAATTTACAATTAACGAACAGGGCTGTCGCAGTCAAAAGAACAATTAACGGCAGGAGGCACCGCAAATCTCTAGCCCATGCCTCCAACCTAGCAAGTCATCCCTGCTCCACAGAGTAATTCAGCACGTGTTTAAGTGCTGCTGGAGTTGTATCTGTAGGTAGGTACTGCTTAGCATGAGCAGAAGAAAGAAAGTGAATGCCCAGAAACAAGAAGAAAGGATTATTTTAGACGAAAAGATGAGAAAATCCACTACCCTGTCTTCCGGACCGTTAACAGCCTTTCTGGTAGCAGTTAAAGCAACTTCTTAACTGTATTTGATTGATGTACCAATTATATTATACTTTCACAAAATACCCATTGGAGGTCCTCAGATAAGATGTCGAATTTTCTATGAAAAGATAACTCCAGCAAGACAGCTGGAAGATTAAAAGACTAAGTAAGTTGAGCCAGGGATAGCAGTCTTTTCTCCTCCCTTTTACTGTAAATAGCTATTCATGGGGCTAAATGACAATGCCCCAAAAATATGACAGAAGGACACGGCTGACTCCCACTTTATTTAAATCGAGATATCTCCACTTTTAATTAAAAAGTTTTAGATTTATTAGATTCTGGAGTTTTGGATTTATGCAGTCTGTATAAGTCTGAAGTCAGCTTGGTTCTTTATTAAATTAAAAATATCCTAAGGCAGTTTTTGATCTTTGAAGAGTTACATGCGTATATGAAAGTTCAATCAGTTGGAATGAACTGTCTGAAAACCTTAAAGTTGATTATTTAACAAGAGAAAGAAAATACCTCTGAAGCAATGCAGCAGCCACTAGAAAAGCACCACAAACATTCCTGAGTTTATGAATATAGTTTTTTTCTTTCAGAGCAAAGCCATGCTTTCATAGTTGGAATGTAATGAATCTTTGGATCAAGCAAAAATTGAAGAAATGTCGAGCAGTCATAAACAGTGCTGCTCCTAAACGTGTCTGCCAAACCAGAGCTATCAGTTATCACAATAACAGACAATCAAGCCTGTCCAATGCTTCACAATAATTATTTATCATTCTGAAGAGGTGTGCTAAGCATCTTGAAAGCACAAATTAAGGCACTAGGAACTTAAGATTTTAACATTCGACCCAAGAAGCTGCAGGGGAAGAAACACAATGAAGAAGCACAAAGGCATTCTGTCATTTGCTTTCATATGACTTTTTTTTTTGGCCTTCCTTAGAGGATGACAAACTCACCAGATATCCCCAAAAGTTAGAGCAAAAGAAACAAAACAATCAAAGGTGGAAAATCACAGATTAAATAGAGATCTGCTGTTTCTGAATGAGTGCTAATGTAAGAAGCATATAGAATATGATTTGACTCCATAGAAATGAATGACCAAAATAATTTAAGAGACTTTTTATCTTCCATCTGCTTTTGCAGTAGTGGCTCAGACCCCCTCATGCTCTTGCCTTTGAGGTTCAGATGCAGAACTAACTGCAGAGTGGAAGGGTCAGAAGACACAGCGAAACTTGCTATGAGGTGCAGCGAAGAAATATCCGAGGTAGCGCAGGATGATCTGCCGCAGCACTGGAGGGCACGCAGTGACAGTAACACCACAGGGGCACAGAGGCACCTATTTCGGTCCCTGGAGGAGCGCTGTCACAGGTGTTGTCTCAGAGCTAATTTGAGGCCCTTTGCACAGAGCTGCATTATGAACCTCCTCTCATAAAACCCCTCAGACTCCAGGGTTGCGTGTGGTCACACCATGAGTTTTCACTGGGGTGCGGTCTGTGAGGCAAAACATTCTGCTCTTCTCAGTGACTCAAACAGGAAACGCCATGAGGTAAGCAAATACCCAGCTTATCTAAATTATCATTGAAAATAGTCATCAAGAGGAAAATGTAATGGGGTTAAAGTTTGACAATCAGAGCAGGGCTTGAAGTACTGCAGGGCAATGGCCGCTGAATCTACGAGTGTGTTTTTGCAAGAGCTGAACTCACGTGCTAACGTAACACTCTGAATATCGAGAAGATACCTGAATAACAAGAGATAGCCGAGTTAAACCCCTGAGAAAACAAGCATGCAGGCACATGGAATTACATTGCATTTCTTTATCTTACAGGTCACACTTCAGAGCTTTTATTTCTATTCTACAGTCGTCACTCTTACCATCTTTTTCACTATCTATTGTACAGGAGCCCTTGCTGATTTTGTGCGACCTGTACTATATCACTGTTGTACTCCTTTCCACCTTGAGAAGCTGAGCTGAAGTACTCACAATAACAGCATATAAAATATGAATGTCAGTTTGCTAACTCCCATTATCAACACAGAGAGTATGTATAAATAAAGATAATTTAAAAGATAAGGATAATGGTTTTTTTTGCTTGATTGTTTGTTCTGCTTAAGTAACCTTCCTGAGGTCAATGATTCACTATGCTGGAAGATCTATAGGTAAAATATGAACAGAAAAAATTTCTTTGAGTTTTGGTCTCACTCTCTCCATGTTTAATTGGATTAAACCCTTCCACTCTCCTATAATGCAGACTTCCTTCACTTTCATTCAATCTTTTCTGGTATGAGGAAAGCCATGGAGAACAGAGAGGCACAAAGGCAATTTGCTACAGACTGGAAGCAAAAAAGGGGGAAAGGCAGAAATCAGTGGAAGGCAAAAGAAAACAGACAACACCTGGCAACAGAGCAGGCTCTCTCAGTTACAGGAGAGCAGGAGCCTGCTCTAAACCCCACAGCTGAGACAGAGTGTCTTTCCTTCAGAAAGACAACACAACTTAGTGAAATGGTAAATACAAGGGAATCTGTTAATCCATGAGAACTACAGAGATGATAATCTCTTTATAATCCTTTTCACTGGAGGGGAGAATACAGAATGGTTGATGTTGCAAGGTGATCTGGTCCATCCCCCCTGCTCAAGCAGGGTCACCTAGAGCAGGCTGCCTAGGACCATGTCTCCAAGGAGGGAGACTCCACAACTTCTCTGGGCAACCTGTGCCAGTCCTCGGACACCTTCACAGTGAAAAAAAGTGTTTCCTGATGTTCAGACAGAGCCTCCTGTGTTTCAGTTTGTGCCCACTGCCTCCTGTTCTGTCACTGGGCACCAATGAAAAAAGCCTGGCTCCATCTATCATGTAGATTAACACATTAATAAAATCCCTCCCTGAGCCTTCTCTTCTCCAGGCTGAGCAGTCACAGCTTTCTCACCCTTTCCTCAAATGTCAGGTGCTCCAGTTGCTTCATCACATTTGTGGCCCTTCACTGGACTTTCTCTAGTACATCCAACCTCTCCATTGTACTGAGGAGCCCAGAACTGGACATGTTACTCCAGGTGTGGCCTCACCAGCGCTGAGTAGAAGCAAAGGATCACCTACCCCAACCTGCTGGCAAAACCCCTCCTCATGCAGCCCAGGATACCACTGGCCTTCTTTGCTGCCAGGGCACATGGCTGGCTCATGTCCAACTTGGTATCCACCAGGATCCCCAAGCTCTTTTCTGCAAAGCTGCTTTCCAGAGGGTTAGTCCACAGCCTATACCGGTGCCTGGGATTACGCTACGTGCAGAACTTTGCTCTTCTCTTTTGTTGAGCTGCATGAGGTTTCCATCAGCCCAGCCTGTCAAGGTCTCTCTGGATGGTAGCACAACCCTCTGGGTGTATCGGCCACTCCTCCCAGTTTTGTGTCATCAGCAAACTTACCAAGGGTACACTCACTGACTCCATCACCCAGATGTTAAACAGAGCTGGACCCGGCATTGACCCCTGGGGTACATCAGCAGTCACTGGCCACCAACTAGACTTCGTACCACTGATCAATACCCTCTGGGCCCAGCTATTCAGGCAGTTTTCAATCCACCTCCCTTGTCTGCTCATATAGCCTGTACATCATCAGCTTCTCTATGAGGATCTTATGGCAGACAGTATTGAAAGCCTTAAAACAGAAGATGAAATATACTCTTAAATCCATAGCAATCTCACTGAATTAAAGGCATAGGATTCTGACCTAAAATCAGTATGTTACAGTACTCCGTGAATTAGCAAGCACAATGTAATAAGCATGAATAATCTACAATAAAATATGCTGAGTTTATATACTTAAAAGTACCATTTCACTTTCTTTTTACATTGCATCTTATGTTAATAACCATGCTCTGCATTTAAATGTCACTGCTTCTGCAAATTGGGAAGGATCTCATCCCACATCCTTCAGCTGTCACCCCTTTTCAGAAAAGGGGAGCCAATGCAGCATCTGGAATCTAATTAAAAGATCAGGAGGATTCTCCTTCAGAAGGTTCATGTAAGAAGTGACAGGAAACCGATTTGCTGCCACTCAGCATTTCCCACTTGCTGAACCCTGAAGACTTCGTTTAGAAGCAGTATCAGCTTTGACTTTTTTTCTTTTGCGTTTTCTGCTGCTCATCTGCAACTTTAACAGCCCAATACAAGAACATTTTAAAATGCAACTTAATTAGGCTATTTATGCAGAAATAATAAATGAAACAACATCTGATCTAACAAGCACAAGCAACGTATGTCATTAGAAGAAATCAAGACTGACTATCACCTCACAAGGACTGATGGGTAAACATCCTCTTAGCACCATAATGCTTCACATCCAAAAATCAGTAACTTGTAGGCACCAACACTCTCGAATGCTGAATTCCCGAATTCCACACAATGCTCAAGGAATGAGGCAAAAGCTAGAAGCTGGGCCACAATCTATCATAACTCATAGGATATTTATGAATGAGCAACTGAAATTTCATTTGTAAGGCCTTGCCACAATTTCCAGTGAGCCTTGGCATTATGCTGAAGCAAAAAAAGAAAGACTATGCTATCCTCACCATTTTCAGTGACCTGGCAGAAGCCAGACTGACCAGATATCATTTACACATTTTGCATTGTAAGCCTTAATATGCTACGTGCATCTAAGAAGTAGCTTCTTGTATAAAGGGGCACACACATTAACCCCATTTATACTTACATTCAGATCAGTGTAGGCTTTCCACACTCAAAAGAAGATAATATATTTGGAAGTATTTAGTTACATTCAGGATTATAACCTGTGCTGAAGTAAATCTGATGTGCTATGGAAGGATTATTTGTTTGAACCAAGTAGGTAACTTCCTGCAGAAAATGATGTAAAAGCTTTCTGATCTAAACAGAAGTCAGTCTGATTTGGTTTTCTATCGGACTCTTATCAAGTGGTAGAAACAAGAGTCTAAATCTTGACTAACGTTATTTTTCTGATACTAGATGCGTACTAATTCTACAGCTCTGGCACACACATTTAGCCCAGTATTCTCTACTTTTAATAAGGCATTTAGTACAAAGATAGCAAGGTGCCTTACTCTAATGAGTTTGTTGACTTGTGAATGCTCACAATAAAAAGAACAGCAGCCGTTTGTTCCTGTGAAAATGGAGAATTGATTATTTCTAGAACATCAGTTTATCTAAAGCAAATTTACACTGCTTCTGACAACTTTTGGACTGATAATAAAAAAAAGATCATCTTTATCTTCAGAGCATCAGCAAAGACTATCAAAATGAATTACACCACCTCCTGCTGATGTAGGGTACAACGTTGTCTCAGATGAGCCACTCTCATCTCCTGTAGGTGAGGACCTGCACTACAGAGCAGACCCCTGACCTGTCAGCTAGTTGCCAAGTAGGCTTTGGTCCATGACTGTCTTATCACAAGGTCAAATCAAGCCCATTTCAGAATAGGACAGGAGGGGCTGCACATCTTGTAAAATTAGTTTGGAAAATCTGGGCTTTTCCCCTCAGTACAGCGTATAACAGCAAACAATAGACCTATAAACTACTAGAACATGCACTGACTCTGCTTGCTCACTTCTGCTACTCCTTCAACTTGAAATAATATAGCTTTCTAGCACAGTTGCTCACACACACAGAGAATTATAAGGCATGCTTACAAGAAAAATGGTAGTTCTGAACTCAGCTTCTATAGCATTTGTTGCAACATAAGAGAATCCAATCCTTTTTTTTCCAGACTGTAACCTCAGTACAGTCCCCCAAAGAAGGGTTTGACCCCTGTTACATGTGGTAATTCATGCAAATATGCAAGATGAAATTGCAGAAAGATATTTTTAAAATGAAAAGGGAAAAGGTTTGACCACCAAGCTCTCAAAATCTGGAAATCTTCATTTTGATATATATTATTTAGCACCTGAAAATGAGAGCTTACAATAAAAGTAAATCTCAAACTATGGCAACACTACAGAGCCAATTGTTCAGTGATCGCAGCTGGCACAAGTGTTTTCAGCTCAGTAATCTTTCCTGGCCATGACAATGCCCACATTAAAACCATACCTGTCCTTTACGTCTTTCATGAGCTGCTGCAAGTCAACCTCCTGCTTCCTCAGGTTTCCAAACGAGGACTGGTTTTCCACATAGCCCTTCCCACCAGCTCCCAGGCTGATCTTCCCAAATGAAGTTTCAATGCTCCCTTGAACAAAATCTTCAAACTTTCCCGTATATTTTGCAAAGTCAGACTCCACAATTACTAGGAAAGCAACAAAATAAATTTCTACCTGTTAAGAGAAGTGCTGAAACAGTCCTGAAGTGATGGGAAAAACAGAAACTTATGGAAAATATCACAAGTTAGTGGAGGCAAGGAACAGTACCAAGCACATAAATAATAAAATTTACAGCTCTGCAACTCTTATTCCTGCTTCTTCCATATTTTAATCATTTTTGCTCTGCTATCTTTTACATTTTGCCATTTTAGGAAAATATAAGGTGATTGAAATGCTGAGCTCAAGCGCTACAGAAGGTTTATAAACTGAGTGACATTTATTTCAGCTACAAGGAAAAACTACCAGGCAGACCTGCTTGTACAATATTTTGCCATTACCTTGACATATCTCATTATAGGGTTGCCCCAAAGCTCACTGAAAACCAATGGAAACATCTAATTGGTTTAAAACAACTCTGAATCTTGTACACATATAAACCAAAGAACTGACTTGGAATCAGCTAATCCTCCAAGCCAGCTACAATTAACATCTAAATGTAAGGACTTTTCCATTTTCCTGTATGGAACTGTGACATGACCAGAAATACGTGTTTCCAGATCGTTAATCCTAAAACCTGGTTAGGACTGCTACAGCTGGATGAAGAAAGAAGTATGAGGGTCAAGCATGTTTAACAGTCTGTGCACGAAGAAAGGAAGCAGTGGTAAAACTTGCTTGGCCTTGCCTGTGCAAGCACTCCCTGCGCTACTGCCACCACCACCACATGGTTTATCCAGTGCTTTTTGACCTGGAGCATGGTACAGTTTCATGCTACTATCACATGCTGGAATCCCTCAAAGTTATTATAGGGGAGATCCTGTGGCTGCAGACAGCACTGTAATTAAATAGTAGGACTGTATGGCTTGACAATCTTCAGCACTCCATTTCAGTAGTCTATCTAGACAAAACATTTTAATTTTTTTTAACAAACACTCATTACTACTGGTTTTAGTTAAATGAGTAGTTATGTGTGAAAAGATACAGTCATCTCTTTTCAATGGATGAAAAATACTTCAGAACACTCCTCCGAAAGGAGCCCTCTAGTAATGCAATTGAGAATAACAACGAAAAAGATTAGGCTTTGCATCCTTTTTTCTGCAATAACAGCGCTGCCCAAGCGTGGCTTTACCTGGTTTTATCAGTTTGTCTTCCGTAAGCACATCGCTCAGGGTGACCGTCAAGAAATGATACTTGGGCTTCTGCCAGCACCAGAATTTCTTCCTCTTGGTAACTAAGCTCAGAAGCTGCAGCTTGTCAGAGGCATTCAGGTGGGAGACAGGGATCAAGTCGCCTCCACTGTCAGTTTCTCTCACAAAATTCTTTGTTGCTTTTGCAAACATCTTGGGGAATCAATTAAAGCCTGAAAGAATACATCTGTTTTTCAACAGCTACAGTTGGAAAGTATAAACATCCACATTGTCACTTTAAGAAGTTCTTCATAGTACTGGCATTAACGGAGGGACAGCTAATGTTTTCACCCCATCTTCTCCAACCTTAGCTGGGAATCACCGCAGTTCAAACCACTTATTCCAACGTAAAAAGGTTTTCACAGTAACAGACCAAAGAATTTTAGTTAAAATTTTAAATAAGCAGCAGTGAATAAGCAAAGAATGAGGCACTGCAAATGAGGCAAGACTTAAACATTACAATGATAACGCATGAAATTTATGACCATAAATGTAATGAAATAAGAAAAATTTAGATAAAATAAATAATCATATTCCAATCTACAGCTGAAGAGTTCCTTCGAGGAACACCACAGGTAATTAATCCACTCAGGAGGAAAAAAACTTAACACAGCTTACCTGAATTTCTACAAAAAAGCATCTACTAACGGGCACCCTGCAGAGACTGGCTGGGATGAGCAGAGCACTGGTGCAATGGCAGAGGATTTCTGCCTCCCTGCAGAACCCTTCTTTTATTACCCAACATAAAATCATCTTACTCCATACAAGGTAATTGGGTCCTATTCACACAAAATTATCTTGATCTTTTTAACAGTGAGTAAACACATATAAGGATAATAAAAATATCTTCTATAAAAAGCAACAAATATTTGTGCTGGCATCTTGGTGACTAAGTTTTGTTTCTGAACAACGCCCCTGAAAAGTCCCAATTAATTTTTTTCTTTCTGAGCGTTTTTACCCTCAATGTTTTCCAATTTTCTATTTTCCATTAGCGTAACTACAGCTAAATTGAACATATGCTATTTGCAACTGTTATTCATATCTGCTAAGCAGCTACATCCATTATCTTATTCTAGCTTTTAAATGTCTTAAATTAAAAAACATTGGCATCTCTTATTATGCAAGGTTTTCTTCTTCATCTCAAGCAATGCATTTTGCTGTATTTATAAGGAAATTATTGCAAAAGGGAAACTGGCTAAACTTACAGGAGAAATGGTAAAAATGACCACTCGCAAGTGCCAGACACTCAATTCAAATAAATTAATCTCTGATCTTTTACAAAAATCTAGAATTTTTTAGTTTATTTTTAGTTGTGTTATTTGTTCTAATGATATTTCCAGAATTAAATCAGTTTTTTAAAGTTGGCGGC